TTTTCAAAGAAACACAATGGAGAAACTGAACCAGGAGGATCCCATCCTAGATGGAGGCTAAGATTGTCCTCATGGCTTTTGAACACAGGCAGACCTCCACCTGTTAACAGTACAGGATCACATTCCCTCTGAGTAGCTTATGACATTTCTCTCAGATACTGATTTAGTGCAGACAACTATACCCAAATTTAAACTCAAAACAAAATCAGTTATAGTCTCAAGGGCCTTTTACTTCAAACAGCAAGTTTCACTAATCACAGCCTACAGCCAGATACAGTTAATTTTACTCTCATGGAGCTGCAATAAGCAATAAAGATTTACCAGGACTCACCTACATAAGGGATTCCATGTAACATCTTTCCTTCTCAAATTTAAACTTATCCTGGTGTAAAACCCAATCATTGAAATAATTTCTATCTATTGTACATAAACTTGCAACTTCTCAGCAAGCCAATTTCATTGCTTAGGAACTCCATAACCCAAATTTTTTATTTTTTTCCCCCAGGGCTGATAAGCTTGCCCCTACAGATGGTTTACAGGAACCTTGGCAAGTTTACAAAATAAGGGGAACTGACATGGACCCCAGGGAGGGGCTGATCCTGGTGCCCCTGCCTGCCAGCCCCATATTCCAAGGTGGATGTTCTGAATGGGCAGAACCAATCTGAATAAGGCTTTCACCCAATCCCCTCCTTTTCACACACAGTAATCAATTAACAACTTTAGGTTTTAGCATTAAAACAGTAACTTCAAATAACTTAGTTAACAATCTTACAACTTTCATAAATGATAGTCAAATTGTTTTAGCTGTAACCTCCTCCTTAACTACAGGCAAAGGTGGAAATAACCTGGTTTTCCAAATGGCAGTTATAAAACATTATAAGACAGGGTTAGTAGGGCTAATAAAGCAACATAACAGGTTTAACACAATTTTTCCATTGTCCTTTAGTTTCTTTCAGTTCATACTTCAATAACATCCAAATTATGAAAAGTTGCTTGACATAACTGATACAAAAGTCTACCAATTTGAAACAATATTAGATGTTTAAAAATTTGAAGCAAACATCTTACCAATCAGATGACTCCAATTCTGTTGAATGAATTTCCAAATTACCTTACAGAGAAAATCCAGCATCTCATCACCATTGGCATTGTATACTGGTCACATCTAATTAAGGAACTAATAACAATGGTTAACATTTTTAGTGCCTGCCCTCTGCCAGGCACTGTGTTAGGCACCTTCCAATCATGTGAGGTAAACTGAGGTAACTTGCTTAATGTCACCCAGTTAACAAATTTCAGATCCATACATTTTCCCAATTTGCCTTAGTGCCAAACAGTATAATAAATTCTAACTTATCTTAAGCATCAAATTAGGAGTGACACATTTCACTTAAAATATGAATATGAATATAAATTCAATTACCTTTTGGTTGTGTCCTGGTACACAAAAACTTTTCTCTTTTATGTGAGGCAGGAAAGATTAAGTGCTAGTTAACTGACCTCTTTGATCTGAGGGCAAAAGATTCCCTCTTTCTTTCTTGTCTCTCCCTCCACATTCAAAACTTGACCAGAGTTAGAATGTAGAAACAGAGAGAAAATTTTTTACCAACAATTTTCCAAAAGTTTCTAAACTGTTTACCCTCAAACTCTCTGTTCACACAGTTCATGCAAATAGATTGTGCTGTTCTTTCTACCCATACTGTCATTGCTACATGCTTAAACTTTCTTGCCTTTCCTTCTACCTACTTATCCCTCTGGTGGACTTTAATTAAAGTTCCTTTAAAACTGCACATATCTTATTTCTTTGTAATTCTGATCTGACATTTCTCTTACCTTTACCAATCATATGACATAAATAGTAAAGTATTTTCCTCTCTCTTTCTCTCTCCCATCCACCTGCTCCTCTAAGGCTGCTGTAATCAGGGAGGGAGGAGGAGAGAAAGAAAGCAGCATTCCAAAGTCCAGCTGCAGACCTTGGATGCTACTCCTGCTGGCTCTACAGGGTGTCAGATTACATACACTCACACCACACAGACACAAACACAGAACAGATACAGGGTAATACAGATGATGACTGAGAGAATCCAAAAGCTCAGAGAGGCTTGTCAGAAATCCCCTGCACAAGTCAGACAACTTTTTCATGGTCCTCCAGTTCATATAGAGGCCAGGCAAAATGTTCCTTTTTAAGGTCTTGGATACCAAGCTTTCTCCAGTTCTGTAAAAGATAATCTAGGGGCAAATCTCGAGGTGTAGAGAGAGATTGGCCCATCCTTTTTGTCTATAAGCCTATAGAGAGAAAGGGAAACCAATAAGCACCTGTAGTCACTCACCTCAGCCAGCATCCTGGTACAGGACCTGGTACAGGTCCTGGAGAGGGAGAAATAACCCGCAAAAGTTCCCAAACAAGACATCCCTTGTCAAGAGGGAAATCTGTCAGAGCCTGTTATAGGCTTGACCCAAAGCCCCTGAAAGTCTTCCTAGGTGCTTGTGAGATGACTCAATTACAGGGTGAGGGGAGAGGCAGGCTTACCTTGACCCAGAGAACACCTGAGACTTCAGACAGGCCCCAAGTTGGACGCAATACATATTGCTATCTGAGAGGTTTAGACCCCTCAAGGACCAGAGTATAGGACGAGGTCGTCTGGAATGAATTCACAGACTCAAGCCTTCTTTTAGTCAAGGTGGCAAAGATTTATTGTTACACTATACAGCAGGCAGAGGTCCTTAAGGAATTCTGCCATGGTGGGCAGAGCTCGTTAGGGAACTTGCAACCTAAAGAATGATGCTAAAGCTTATATAGGAAAAGTAGTGAATTATGTGCCAAGTATGCTAATTAGGTGACAACATACAACTACATCATTCACTACTGGAAACCACAGGAATGGGGAAAGAGAGTTCCTAAAGGGTATATTTTTGGTCTGTCATGTCTGTATCAAGATAGTTTGGGGAGTTGACGTCTATAGCTTGACCTCTGGATTGCATACAGTAACTGTGGGCATCGGTACTTGATAGTTCTGCTGGTACAACAGAGTCCTATTCATACAAAGGAAATTCTACAGAGGTCAGCTTGTTCTTGTAACAGGGAGAGATAGTTTGCCTCACTGGGCCCATTCACGAGTCACTGCCAGAGATAGGGTCCTTCAACTGGAGGAAAACTGTCAGGGATAGTGTTTCTGAGGCCAGGAAGAAATTGGGGTCCAAGCACAGGTACCCAAGCACCCCATCATAGGTTTTGCTTTTTGATCATGGCTTTCAGGTAGCTCAGTAATTCTTAGATTATCTCTCCTCAATCTATTTTCCAGGTCAGTTGTTTTTCCAACGAGATATTTCACATTTTATTTTTTCATTTGTTTGACTTTGTTTCTATTGTTTCTTCATGTCTGATAGAGTCATTAGCAACTTCCTGGCTAATTCTAATTTTTAAGGAATTCTTTAGGGAGCTTTTCTATCTCTTTTTCTACTTGGCCAATTACAATTTTAAGAATTTCTTTTCTTCAGTGAATTTTTGTACCTCCTTTTCCATTTAGTCTAGTCTTCTTTTTCAAGGAGTTCTTCAATGAATTTTGGTGCCTCTTTTACCATTAGGCCAATTTTGTTTTTTTACAGTATGATTTTCTTCAGTATTTTATTGTGCCTCTATTACCATGCTGTTAATTCTCTTTTCCTAATTTGCTTACACAATTGTAATTTCTTTTCCCAATTTTTCCTTTACCACTCATTTATTTCTTTAAGTCTCTGAGGAATTCTCATTGGTTTTGTCTCCAATTAGCAAATTTCTTTAAGGCTTTGCTTATAGTTGTTTTCACATTGTCTCCTTCTGAATTAGTATCTTGTTCTTCCCTACCACCAAATTAGCTTCTTAGGGTTAAATTCTTTATTGTTGTTGTTGTCGTTTGATCATTTTTCCACTCTATTTCTTGACTTTGAACTTTCTGTTAAAATTGGACTGTGGTGACATGGGCTTGGGTAGGCACTGTCCCAAGCTTCAGGATTTCTCATGCTACTGTTTTCAGAAATAGTTCTGGAGGTATGCAAGTTTTTAGTGCTTCCAAGGTAGTGTGGTCTAGGGAGAGGTGTGGTCCCTGATCTTGTGGTCTGTGCTCTGGTCTTTACCCAGGAAGGGGCCTTGATCCCCTGTAGCCACAAGAGTGAGTGTTTAGCTCTAGAACTATGACCAGGTCCCCTACTGTCCTGAAATGACAAGTGCTAGTGCTCCTCTTTGCTTTGGAACTGAGACCAGGTAGCCTGCTCCCTTGTGATTGACCACAAGTGCTCCTCTCTGCCCTGGAATGTGACCCAGAAGTATGCATGGGCAAGGCTTCACTGAGGAAAGAGCAACTAAGGGAACTTGTAAAGGAAAGAAGAATTTCAATAGTCAGAGATAAGGAAGTAGATCATTCTATTTATATACATTGAATTACATGTGATCAGGGAGTAGCCTGTTTACAAATTTTGGTGGAATGTACAAAGATGGAGGGGTAGTAATGTTGAATAACATTGAAAACATAGGCAGGGTACAGATCATTTAAGGCCTCAAAATCAAGGCTAAGGAGTTTGTATTTTTATACTTAGGTCTGAGTAAAAATTTTCCAAATCAGCTGAACATGAGCCTGTTGTAGGGAGAAGATGGGGAAGGCCACCAGAAGAAGAAAGAGAGATTTTCCCTTCACTGAAATGAGAGATGTTTACTAGTCAATGGGGAGAGAGGATTGAGACACATGATTTATTTAAACCATTTCCAATTCTTTTTTCACCTCTATCCTTCACATAGCTTCAGTCTTGCTAGACTCCAAAATGTCACAAACCCAAACTACCAGGACATTGTGCTTCCACATGTATCATCTACATTCAGTGATGATTCTGGGGCAGGAGAGTAGAGTGAATATATTTCCTTTGGAGCTCCTTCCATATTTTACACTCTCACCACATACTTTCTGTGCCCCATTCCTCCCAAACTAAAAACAGGTTTTGACTAATTGATGTTCTGTACTCTCCTGCAGCCATGTCTACACCAGGGGATAATGATGATGAACCATCCCAAGGAGACCCAGGAAGAAGAGAGCTGGAAGAGAAGCTGAGACAATTGGGGCTGGATACCCAGTACTGGGTACCTAAGCTGCAGGAATCCCTGGGTATGACCTCTGACCAAGCTTTACAACACCTACAACAGAGGGAAATCCAGACACTGAAATCTCAGGTAAAACATCCTTGGGAGAAGCAGGCCTTGGAGAAACTTCTTCAGCTATCGAGTGGTCAGGGCTCAGAGAAGATGGAAGAGAAACATTGGGTGACAGTGAAGGAGAGACAAGAGGGGGCACAGTCAGCCTTGAAGGAGCTGAAGGAGATGCAGGCAGCAGGTAAAAGCCACCAGGAGATGACTGTGAGGGAGAAAGAAGAGGAGCTGAGGCAGGCCATGAAGATCCCACCCAACTACTGGCAACTCCCTGAGAAACCCCTAATGGAGGTCATAGAAAACATGCAGAGACACCTCAGTCACACGGAGGGCACACTCTCCCATAGGGAGAATCTTCCTGACAGGGAGCTCCTCAAAAGGGTGTCAGGTGGCCTGGCCCTACAGGGGATTTACCAAACCAACCATCCTGAGGATCTTTTGGGCAAGAGAGAAGAACTGCTCAGCCTCCCAGAGAACTTCTTCTTGCTCAGTCCAGCACAGGCAACAAGGATGGAAACAATGGAATTTTTATCTTTTCAGGAAGAGTCCATGTTTACACAAAGCATGGAGAAATTGGGTTTCAGTGTTAGCTTCTTGGCTAAGGGTGGAGGTTGGGGATTTAACCTGGAGGCCAGCACCAATAATAATAAATCTTCTGACTCTAGAGAGGTCCATAAGTCACACTCTAAGGACACTTACAGCTGCACCACCAAGTTCAGCTATGTCCCACTGGCCTCCTGCCACTTTGCACGGGATCAGCTCTACCTATCCAGGTCAGCTCTTCAAGAGTTAAAGCAGCTGGAGCAACTTCTGAGTCACTCCAATGGTACAGAAACCTATCAACTACTGAAGCATAGATGTGAAGCATTTTTCCAAAGGTTTGGCTCTCATGTGAACCAGGGCCCATTGCACTTAGGAGGAGTGTTCTGGTGGAAAGCTGTAGCTGAGGGTTTCAGGTCAGAGGAGCTGGATGATGTGAAGCAACAAGCCTCAGAGGCACTTGATGTGTACATTGGAGGCAGCTACAGTGGCTTTGGGGTGAGAGCAGGAGCCATGGTAAATGCATCCAACTCTCGGTCGCAAATGGCTTCTCACAATAAAAGCTCCACTGATTTGCAAGCAAGATTCCAAATGTCTGTATACCAAACAGGAGGCCCCCCAGAGGTGGATTCTCTCCCACAGTGGAAAGCTGGTCTTGTGGCCAGTAACCACACCTGGCGTGTCATTGACCGAGGTTATCAGCTAGTGCCTGTCTGGGAAATAATTCTGTCTAACCACAAACAAGATTTTCAGGATCCTCTACAAGTGGCTCGCTGCCTCACAGACATTTACACAGCCCTGACTGGCCGATGTGCAAGGACCCAGGATGGAGAGGAATTACTGAGTGCACAGGAGGATGCCAGGTCTTTTGTAGAGGAAGTGAAATCCTGGGAAATCACTGAGCCTGAGGAGAAACTGATGAAACTGATGGACTTCAAGCAAAAGCTGAGTGAGAAAACTAGGAACTCTAACACCTGGATTAACATCTGTCTCAAAGACCTTGCTCTGCAGAAGTTCTTGGTGGACATTGTCAATTTCTGCAAGGACTTCCCAGTTCATGAAACCAAATTCATTAAATCCCAGTTGCGTAGCCTTCTGTATCCTCATGTCTATCAAGTGGAGGAGTTCCCACAGAGTCGGCCAATCATGCAGTGGGTTTTCCACTCAGCAAAGGAGCAACAGGATATCAGTGTCACAGAGTTTGCTGAGTTCATTCAGCTCTTAGAAAAGACAAAGAATGACCTTCTCGAAATAAATCACAACTCAGAGTCCTTAGGAAAGGTGGAAGAAGCTCAAAGAAAGGCTACTTATCAGATTAGTGCATCTCTCAGCTCCTTTCTGAAGGCACTGAAAAAGGCAGAGGAGTCAGGCACACACCTGCTGCTACTTTCCATTGCAGCTGGTGCAGGGTACAAGGAGGAAAACCAAACGTTCCACTGTCTCCTAGGATGTGAAGAATTAAATTTCTTCTTATGTGAAATGAAAGAAGCCCATGAGAAATACCAGTACCTTAATAAGGAATGTGACTATAGGGCTCAAGCATTCCTACTGTTCACAGGGCTCACAGTAACTCCTGGACCTACTGCTGTGTCTGCAGAAGAAAAGATGCAGCGTTTGAAGCTTATGCAATCTCACATGGATCAGTCATGGTCCAAAGAAGTGCTTCATGTACTTTTGAAACCCAGGGCTGGTCACGATTGGGAAACTCTGGAAAAAGACCTGAATTTCCTCACGAGTGGAGAATATGAAGCTACCGTGAACTGTATACAAATGGACCAGGTGAAAAAAGAACTAGAAAGTGTCTCTCAGAGAAAGAAAAAGACCTGTGAACCAGAAGCAAGTGCCATCACACACCATGAAGTGATAAAAAATTCCAACTTTCTAGACTTAGCTAAGAGGCTTGGTCTGGAGCATTACTATCCAAGGAAGATGGGCCGAGCAGATTTCCATCTGATTTACAAGGCCTCTGTGCATGACAGTCAGCCAGACTCAGAGAAACAATTGCCATTTTATTTCCTACAGAAGCTGTTGATGCTGGATTACAAACAGAGATACTTGGTCTGTAAAGATGATGGAGACACAATAGGCAGTGGGACACTAACTCTGACAAAGTTTGAGGATGACAATTCAGATCCTTATGATGATTTGTTTGATGACAGGAAGACACCCTCTCTCCTCTTGTCCACAGGCCACCCTCACATTCACCCAATGGACACACAGATGATGATTTTTCACTGTGCAGATGATTTCACGAGACAATACATTTCAAACAAACTTTCCATTTGTCAATTTGCCCTCCCCCTTGTGGTGCCCAATCCCTGCACTTCTATAATAGAATTCCCACTCTGGTCTCTCAGCCAAATCAAGAGAAGCTGGAGACAGGTGGAGAAATCATCAGGAGAAGACACAGTCATTAATTTTCATAACCAACTCATCTCCCAGGCACCCATCCCTATTGTGTCCTTTATAAGAGTTGTGAATTCTGCTTCTTCTTCCAAATCTCAGATCTTGAACTCTCTGCTCAGTAAGCACAAACATGATGTTTTTTTCCACCGTCACTGCCGAGGCAGCAGCAAATCCTGTCTCTTAATGGGAGGTATGGTAGAGATCTCCTGGTTCTGTCCAGGAGGGAGAGATGATGACACATTTGAAAGGTGTGTTGCCTTCACCAATCTCCGTGGAAATGCCAAAGATTATGAGACACAGCTCAGATTTCTACAAGAAATTGCTTCAGTCACAGTGGTCCTTGTGTCTGCTTCTGATAAAAGTGAGAGGACTGTCAAAATGGTCCGGGACCTATGGAAGTCAACAAAACCTTTGGTTTATTTGTTTGATGACAAAGAGGAGAATGTGTTCAATGATTCTGGGCAGAAAGTGAGGATTGGGATTAGGAATAGAAATGAGGCTGAATTAATGGATGAACTCACAAGGGTCATCAATCGCTTGCTGAAGTCTTCAGGTCCTTTTCTCAGTCTGGAAGACTGTGCTGAAGTTGCTCGCCGCCATGGCTTTCTTGTAGATGTGGACAGAAAGGAGTGTCAGGAGGCTAAGGGGAAGGCACAGGCTTTGCTGGCCCTCATGAAAGAGATGAAATTGTCTGAAATGAAGGAGAGATTACTGCCCCTTCAAGGAGAACTTTGGCACCAGTGGTGTAAGAAGGATAAGGAGCTTTGTCACCTGCGAGAGAAGGGGAACCGCAGCCTCGAACAGCACAAGAGTGAGATTGAGACAGAAAAACAAATAATAAGACAAACACAGCTAAAGAGAGCATTTCCTCTCAATGATTTGATGCGATCTGTGCTTGAAATCCTCCAGTCTCACTCAGAGAAAGACAATAGCACTGAGCTGTACTTCCTCGAGTGGCTAAGTATGTTCATGGACAACCTTACTAGAGGTCACCTGGAAAAACTCCACAAGAGGTACAACCAGTTGTGGTCCCTGGTGCTGGGAGAAAGACAAAAAAGATCAAAACGTGCCTCCTTTAAACGCCACCAAAAGGAACTAGAAACTGTCTCTAAGGAGATCAGGGATTCTTCCTTGGGTATTGAACATCTCCTGAGAGAGGTTGGTCAGATCTATGAAGCTTTGGAAGAAGCTTCATCCCAAATGGACACTGTGTTCTTCTCCCTTCCTCAAATTGCTGCTGACCTGATGGTTTCTGGGTACCCCCTTGAGCTGATGGATGGGGATGCTTCCTATGTCCCCCTGAAGTGGGTAGCAGCTGTTTTTGACAGATTGATTGAGAAAATTGGAGACCAAAAGCTCTTTGTTCTCTCTGTTCTTGGCCTCCAAAGCACAGGGAAGTCAACTCTGCTGAATGCTATGTTTGGGTTGCAGTTCAATGTCAGTGCAGGGCGATGCACACGAGGAGCTTACATGCAGTTGCTGAAGGTGGAAGAAACTCTCTGGGAAGAGCTGGGCTTTGGCTTTGTCCTTGTGGTTGACACTGAAGGACTCCGGGCCCCAGAACTCACCTGTAAATCACAGAATCGGGACAATGAACTGGCAACTTTTGTTATTGGACTTGGAAACCTGACCTTGATCAATATATTTGGAGAGAATCCTTCAGAAATGCAAGACATCTTGCAAATTGCTGTCCAGGCCTTTCTGAGAATGAAACAAGTGAACATTTCCCCAAGCTGTCTCTTTGTGCATCAGAATGTGGGGGAAATCACTGCCAAAGATCAAAATGTGGAAGGAAGAAGGCAACTGCAGCAGAGACTGGATGAAATGGCAGCCACGGCTGCAGAACAGGAACAGTGCTCAGATATTACCAGCTTCAGTGATGTCATTCGGTTTGATGTCAACACCCATGTCCATTACTTTGCTCATCTATGGGAAGGGGATCCTCCAATGGCCCCTCCCAACCCCAGTTATAGCCACAACATCCAAGAACTAAAACGAGGAATTCTTTTGGCTGCCAAAAAAGAATCCAAAGGCAGCATCCTGAAGATGTCTGAGGTGAAAGTCCGGATCCATGATTTGTGGAAAGCCTTGCTCAATGAAAACTTCATCTTCAGCTTTAGGAATACCTGGGAGATCATGGCCATGATCAAGCTTGAAACAATGTACAACAACTGGACCTGGAATCTAAGAAGTCATGTGTTGGGTTTGCAGAACCAACTGACCAATCAGATTCAGAATGGGGAAATTCGGGATCTGCCAAGAAGTTCTATTGAGGTTAATATTGCAGAAAAATATGATGCCATCAGGCAAGAGCTTCAAAGATATTTTGATGAAGACCAAGAGAATGAAATCCTGATACAGTGGAAGGGAAACTTTGAGAACAAACTGAGAAATCTTAAAGAGGCACTTGTTTCAGAAAGTGTTAGAAAGTCCAAAGATTTCCTTAGTTCAAGGAAAAGTCAAGATAAACTGGATAAAAAGAAATCAGAATATGAAAAAGAGCTGTTGTTAAGAAGCAGAGATGTGGCTCTGTCATTAATGGGTAAAGAATTAAGTGAGGAAGAGCTGAGAGAGACATTCAGTCAACTTTGGACAAAGTGGGTCTGTGAAGTATCCTCAACTTCCCCTCCTGCTGAAGACCCTAATATTGATGTAGATTTGGAAAATGTCTTTCTGGACCATTTTAAACAGGAGCACAATGTGGCAAGCAAACTTCGAGATCATTCCAGATCGAAAACATTTTCCACTGATTATGACAAACATGTAACAATGAAGATGACATACAAATTTTATAGCCCCTTCATAACAGAGAGTGATAAGAAATCCATAATGCAAACTACCCAAAATGTTATCTCATTGGTCACTGAAACTATTGATTGTAAGTTGAGAATGGGAATGGACTATAATATAAGTTACTTCCATGAAATACTGCGATTGATAGACAAGAAAACTGATTGTGTATCCAATGGGGCACGGTACACATTTACAAATGAATATAAAATAGATTTGTCCTTATGTTTATGCCATAGAGCAGCAGCTAAATTTAGGGACATGCACACAGCTTTCAAGAGAGCACATGATCCTGTCACATATCTAGAAAATAAGAGAGAGGATTTCTTTATGAGTTTTAAGATTTCCTGCCAAGGTGCAACCTCTATCACAGCATTTGCTGACTTCCTGTGGAGCAAGCTCACTGCTTCCCTACCTATAGCCATCTGGAAAAAGATAGCCCTTGACCTTGCTGGAGAGATTAGGGCTAACTGTCCTGCCTTCAATGGAAACCGTTCCAACCTGGAGAAACACATTCTCATCTCTCTGGCTAAGGAGGAAAACTTTGAGAATTACTGGGAATATGTCAATGCACCAAAACGATTTTTTAAGAATTACATTAAAAAAGAAATCCAAGCATACTGTGTAAGTAGAGGACATGAAAAATTGAAGAATTTTTTAAGTAATAGTTTGGAATTTTTTAAGAAAGTCATCCTCTCTGCTATTTGTGAGTCAACTCTGGTGGCTAAGGACCAAAATAATTCTGCTTCTGTGTGGCTAGATACATTGTGTAATCGCCTTGGGCGTCATTTGACCCTTCCAAGAGGAGACTTGAGAAGCATTGAACACCAGGAGATAGCTGACATCCAGTTCCTCAAGGAAACCATGAATGAACACCTGGATACAGAAATCCAAAATGTAGGAAAGGCCTGTGAAATAATATGTATAGAAAATGTGGTACCTGAGATTCAGGCCATGCTCTCTGATCAGCTCAGTGGCTGCTGGAAGCAATGTCCCTTTTGCAAAGCAATTTGTACAAATACAGCCATAAATCATTGTGAAGACCATAGTGTCCCTTTTCATCGTTCTCACACTGTCACTGGCACAAACTGGCACAAAACCAATGAGTTTTCAATTGATTTCTGTACCAGCTACGTGGCAAGTGATCTTCTGTTTGTTCTTAATGATGACAGGTGCATCCCATATAAGACTTATCGTCAGGCAGGTGGTGAATATGCCACATGGAACATTACTCCAGACACATCTGCCCAGCCATACTGGAAATGGTTTGTGTGTCGCTTCAGGTCACAATTAGAAGAGCATTACAATTTCAGATTCAGTGGCAGAGGTCAGATTCCTGATGCATGGTCCAGAATCACCAAGCAAGATGTGCTGAATGACCTAAATAAATAATAATTCTCAGTGACACCAAGGAACCTGAATGCAGAGCATTTTGAGAACTTGTTCTGTCAGAAATGATTTTTCAGAATATGAATGACAGAGGTATAGCACTACCAGACATATATAATAATATAGTGGTCATCAAAATTCTATATCACTGGTTAAAAAAAAAAAGGAGATTTAGAGGGACAGACTACACAATGGAGAACCAGAAATATTTGATCTTAAATCTCACAGTTTTCAATAAGCAAAAATATAAATTATTTATGGAAGAATCCTCATTTGCAAGAATTTTTAGAAAATCTCAAAAGAAGTTGCACAGAAATTACATTTAGGGTTCCAGCTAACATTATATACCAGTGTAAGTAAAAATGGATATGTAACCTCAATGACAAAAGGTCATAGCATCAGAAAATTAGAAAAGAAATAGAAAAGGTACCTTTCTTATCCCTAACCAGAGGTACAATTCTTAAATAAACAAGAGAGGGAGTTATAAACAAAGATTATATGAAATTGAAAATATTTTACACAAGAATAATTAGGATAACTAGTATAAGAAGAGGAGGGGTCAAATGGGAAAAAAATTTTGCATCAAATATCTCTGACAAGGACCCGAAACACAGGCAATTAACAAATACATAACCAAAAAAGGACCATTTTCTAATGGTTAAGTATTGAAAAGACATTAATAAACAGTGTTCAAAAGAAAAATTGTAAACTCTTAGCAATCATAAGAAAAAAAATACTCAAAAACACTACTAAGAGAAATTAGAATCAAAACAACCCAAAGATTTTACATTATACCCAGCCATCTGGCAGAGGTGACAAAAGAAAGGAATAATCAAATTTTTATTTGGGGGAGGAGTGGTATTGTGGAAAGGCATATAAAGTTAAGTAACCAGAGGGGCAGCTAGGTGGCACAGTGGATAGAGCATTGGCACTAGATTCAGAAGGACCTGAGTTCAAATCTGACCTCAGACACATAACACTTACTAGCTGTGTGACCCTGGCCAAGTCACTTAACCCCATTGCCTAGCCAAAAAAAAAAAAAAGTTAAGTAACCAAGTTAAAAAGTAATTTGAAAATAAATATATTTAACAAAACAAATGAAAATACAATAATACGCAGATAATGTTAATATGTGGTTTTCTAAGTCAACATGCATCCACACAGATCAACGTTTATGGTTTACTGGTCTCCCATTCTATTTGAGTTTGACACACTGCACTAAAGCATCAATGGTGGGACTGTGTATGTATACAACCATTCTGGAAAGCAGTTCCAAACTTTGCAAATGAAGGGGATAAAATGTCCATACCCCTTGATCCAGTGAGTCTATTAAGAGACATAAGCCCTGAGGAAGTCATAAAGAAAAGAGAAAGGTTTCTTACACACAAAAATAGTTATAACATCACTTTTTTATGGAAGCAAAGAACCAAAAACAATGTAGAGTCTATCAATAGAGGAATGGCTAAACAAATTGTGGTGCATGAATATAATGATGGATTATTGAAAAATATTAATCAATTATTGATCAGTCATTTATTTTTAGTCACATTCTTTATACATATAGTTTAGTTTTTATAAATCATAGTAGATTAGGAGTTGTATATGAGATTCTTTATAGGCTGACAGGACATTAGCTCCAGCTAGCTCTCCTGTTAACCAAAATCCTCACTTCTATTAAAAGCCTTTGTCCAGTTAGTTTTCTTATTTCTATTAAAAACCTTGCTGTAGTTACGTAGTTATAGTGACTCCATGATCAAATACAAGTCATATGAGGACAGAAAACACCCTGAGTATTGTTCACCTGTCAAAGTGTCCCATTCTCATGAAAATTCACTATCCTTGTCAAAGATAGTTACAAGAGATAGGCTTCCATGGTGACAATGGAAAGTCCCAAAATACCCACAACCAATCAGAAGGTGTAAACCCCCGTCAGAATCAATATCATGTCCCTAAATTCGGGATTTATGTTCCTCATTTATTATGTTCCCCCATTCTGATGTTTCTTACTTATGTCTATAAAAGGGCTCTGTAAATTCAGTAAAGGGTCCTTCTACCAACTGAGGTGGTCTTGGACCCATTTTATTGGCAAACTGCTAGCTATGGCTAATAAACTGATTGTGCTTGAAATTCTTTCTGCCTCAATTTCCTTTATTCACATATTTCAATCAAAACATTATAATGCTGTAAAAATGATAATCATGCTGAATACAGAGAAGCATGGAAAGAGTTGTATGAATTGATTTAATGTGAAGTTGAGTGTTGAAAACTACGCATATGTATATATACACATATATAACGATTATGACAATGTAAATGGAAAAAAACAACCATAAAACAACTAAAATGAATACTGCAAAATTACAAGGCTCCAAGAAAAGATATACCTCTACCCAGTCCTTAGGAGAGGTGGGCAGGGGTCCACAGGTATGTAATTTCAGATATTTTCAATGTATTCACTGGTTATTTTGAATTTTTTCTCTCCTCTTTTTCTTAAAAAATTTGTTACAAGAAATGGTCCTCTGAGAGGTGAGAAGAGGTAATATACAAAGCAGAAATCTAGATGATTTTGAAAAAAAAATTTATAAAAATCTTATACTTAAAAATAAGCTAAATGTTAGTCAGAACAACTCTTACATTTGACCTCAAACCAAGCAAATTGACAACAATTATAAGAGATGGGAAAAGTCAATGCTAGATGTACTGTGGAAAGAGGAAAACTAATACACTGTGGGTAGAGTTTTGAAACGGTCTAACCATTCTGGAAAACAATTTGGAATTATGATGAGAAATGAACAAACATTTCTTACCATATCCTAGGGCCCAGAGATCTTATTGCTAGACATACACCATAAGATAGGCAAAGATAAGAAGATACAGTGTATTCTACATATTATCAAATTATTTATAGTAATTCTTTTTTGTAGTAGTAAAGAACTTTAAAAAAAATGCACATTAATTAGGGAATGGCAATAAATTGTGGTACATGACAGAATGGGAGAGCCATAAAAACAAACAAACAACAACAACAACCAAAAAAAAACCCCAAACCAATGACTAATGAATTAAATTATGGTGATACTTTGGACTTCCTATCCCAGAATTAGATGAGTTATACTTCCCCTTCATGATTCTATGGGGTGGTCAGCTATATCTCACATTTAGGCATGACTTTCAGTAATGCTGTTGTCTCAAGTGCTCATTCTGGGTCTATCCCTACTCCCACTCCTACAGTTAGCAAGCAGTGATAAGCACACCAATTGCTCCAATTAGCACAGAATTGCTTTTGCAAAGGGATCTTCTCTTTGTAGATAACAGGAAAAACAGAAGTACAAACATTCCTCCTCTCACCAACCCCCTCCCCCAAACTGGGGACACATACTACCTAAACCACCTTGAAATGTGGAGAGAGAGGGATCAGACTTAACTAATTTTTTATATCAATCATAGTAGCAAGTTTCCAGACATGGTATGACTAATGGATGAGATACAGATCTCTGCTCCTGCTGACCTAGGCCAATTAAGTTGCTCAGGAGTTCACACCTCACCTGGTATCTTCTGGTATGGATTCCAACTTCCAAAATCAGATGTTTAATATGCCTGACCTTTTTCACATCACAAGGTCATAGCTATTTCTAATCTCCATTAAAAATAGGAAAGGACAAACACAAAGAGACAAAAAATCAAGGCCTGTACCCACAGGACAAATATTCATCTCAGATGAGGTAGGCCTGAGAGTTCTACCCTCACAGCATTGTCTCTCTCAATGTCATGAAGCCAGGTAGGAAGAAGATGGACAAAGAGTAAGGCCCAGGTGACTAGTGCTTTTGGATACCCTAGATCTGATGACACAGCCAATCAGTGGTCTGTGTCCTCATCAAAAGGTAGTAGACTAGAGCCAGCTACTGGTCTATTCATGTTCCAAAGTGGAATGCAAGTCACTTCCATCATATGTCATCAGGCATTTCCAGAAACAGGTCGATGTTGTGGACCCCTCCCCAAACCATTTTGAACCTTCCAGGACCTGAGAAAGGCTTAAAACCTAGATTGGCCCATCAGGAGAGACATTTTGGCCCGCTCTGAGCTTAACCTAGCATAATGCTTTGCATGCTCTGGCATAACAGACACGCTTTGCTTTGCTCTCTGAGTGAACTCAAAATGTACCTTCCTGTGTCAGCAACTACAAGGCCAGATGAAGTTGACCAGGAACATTCTTCTGTTTATGACTACCAAAGACAAGATGCCTTGAATCAGACACTATCTTGAATAATGGGACTTTTCTTACCGTGGTATTCTATAGAGACATTATGTTTGTTATGTTACATTATGTCATGTTAATGATAGAAGAAACACAGAGATCTTGGATCTATAATTTTAATTGACACTTCGATATTCTCCTATCTTATTATATTTATAATCTATTCACTTAAGAAATTCCTATCTCATACTATGTCTAACACATATGAAGACTATAATTTTGGCTGACATAGGCATCCTGAGCCAGGAAGGGGGGAAGAGGTAAGAGGGGATTGGTCTGAAGATATAAAATTCCCTTGGTCTGTTCATCCTTGGTTCATTGTCTACAATGCACTCCCATGTGTATCTTTATATGCATGTTCCACAAGCTTTGAGAAAAATAAACATACAGATGCAGCTTAATGTTGTTTGTCTTTCTTAGAACGAACTCAGTAATGGTCGACAATGTTTAGGATTTTTACTTCTTTATTGTTAATTTTTTTCTTTTAATATGTCATACTCATAATATGCTGTTAAAGCAAACCATCATTTTGGTATTTTTACTTCTTTTCATGCTAATGTCAATCTTTCTTTTATTAATTTAACTGTTGAACTATTATAAATTTAAAGTGGTTACATTTTTTATTATTCATTTTTACATTTACTTTTATATAGTGCCCTGGTTTATCTCTTTTGAATTTTTTTAAATTGAATTTCACTTTATCTATTATGATCCCTCTTGCTTTTTTGCACTTGCAGTTACATGGTAT